TGATCGTTGATATACCGGACACACGAGGAGGAAGTGGTTTATTGTGAATGGGATGTCGCAGCGATGACATAGCGGAGGAGGAGTGCGTTCGAAAAGGTGGTAGTGGGTGATTTTGGTGCGACCGATACGCAGTCTGGCAAGCAGCACTTCCCTGAGATGATTATCTTGATTAATTGTCGGCCAGTGCTGAAGTATGGGTTTGATTGGGTGTAGGTGGTGATGAGCGCGTTGATCCCACTCCGATTGGAGAAAGAGACGGAAATGTAAATTGAGACTGCTAGAATATCAGAAACGGGACAATGAAGATGATTCCGTTCCGGTAGCAAGAGACTTCGTTTCGCTTCTTGGTCAGCAGTGCTGTTTCCACGAATATTTGCGTGTCCAGGTATCCAAAGAAATGTTACATGAGTTTGTTGAGGAAGGGAGCAGAGCGCTCGCCGTATGCCGTTTAAAGTTGGGTGGGATGAACTATGAAGAGTGATGAGAGCTTGTAACGACAAATGAAAGTCGGTTCATATGACTGGCCTTAGCAGGTTACCTTGCTTGATGTAGGGCAGGGCTGCCAGGTTTGCTGTTAGGTCAGCCATATACACCGTATTGTAATTGGACAGGCGGTTTGATTATTGGTAATTATGATGTACGAAGGAAGCTCCTGTGCGACCATCGCGTCGGGAGCGGTCAGGATAAATAAAGATGTGCTGGTCATGTTCTCCTTTGAACTCAGCAAAGAATGCATGCACCCCGGTTTCTGATCCGTTTCGTTTTTTGGGTTTAAACAGAAAGATTACGTTAGGTATGGGGTCGCTGCAAAAGGGTCGGGGACTGGCAGTTGGGCTGCAGGAAATGTCCGGGAGATTAAGCGCTCGCTGCGCTCAAATACCACGAGTGCTGACGGTTGGATGCTTGAGTTCCGAGTTGGTAAGTGTGCGGCTGGGACGGAGGCGTGCGAGGGTGTTATACATGGGGTTACCAACGTGCGTTGTGGCGCGTGCGTAAAACCTGAGAAGTTGCAATTTTCGTCGGTGTGATAGGGAGGGTATATTCGTGTCCGCGAGCAGATCTGGGACCGGGGAGGTGCGAAGTGCACCAGTCACTTTGCGGAGGGCTGCGTTCTGGATGGTCTCTAGGGTTTATTATTTCGTCTAGTTTATTTATTATTTATAATTATTTCGCCTAGACAAGACAATTACAGCTGACTTTGCGGGGGAAACCTGCAGTCCCCACCGTGCACACCACGCGTGGGTATCATTCATGGCTAATTGTATATAATGCAGTGCGTGATCGACACTAGCATGCCCATGCCAAACAGCTAGGTCGTCCGCGTATAAAGAATACTGAAAATGTGAAGAAATATCATCAGTGTTATTGAAAACATTATTGATCGTCACAAGGAAGAGGGTTGAAGATAAGACACTGCGCTGAGGAAGACCGTGATCCTGCGCCGTCGGAGAAGAATAAGTATTTCCGCAGCGCACGGAAAACGTCCTATCAGTTAGGAAGCTTTTAATGAAGGCGGCGAGCCGGCTGCGAACTCCGATTTCATGTAGTTCAATGAGGAGGGCACTTTTAGTTACCCTGTCGAGAACGGCCTTTAAATCCACGAATAGTGCTACCGTACTTGATTTAGTCTGAAATCCGAGCTGAATTGAATCTTTGATGTGGACCAGGCTGTCCGTCGTGGAGCGGCCGGGACGAAAGCCGTTCTGAAAAGGTGGAAGAAGGTGATTTGACTTAAGGAACACCCTGATACGTCCGTTGACCATTCGCTCGAATATTTTAGAAGCACAGGTAGTAAGAGAGATGGGGCGAAAACTCGAAGGGTCAGAGGGAGGCTTAGAAGGCTTAAGTATAGGGATAAGTGTGCTAGAGCGCCACGTGGGAGGGAAGGATCCGTTAGCCGACACATCGTTGAAAGCCGACAGAAGGTTGGCGGGCCCAGACCTAGTGAGATTTCTAAAAAAGGGGTAGGCTAACTGGTCTTGACTGTGAAGTGTTTCCGCACTTACTAACCTCAAAGTCTAATTTATAAGGTGAGAAGAGTACATTGAACGTCTCAGTGTTAGCAGACGTGAAGTTAAGGGCGAGCAGTGTCGCATTGTGTCAGTGATCTGTTGGGAATACTGTTCGGATGATTATACACGGGCGAAGTGTGCAGCAAATTTTGTGGCGACTTGGAATGGGATGCTTTGGTGCTGGTTGCTGACTACAAGGTGCGGGGTTTTATAATGTGGCGTGCGTTTGTTTGTGAAACACCGAATCAGTGACCATATTTTAGATACAGGGTAAAGCGGTTGAACGTATTTGAAAATTGCCCCCAATTTTCCTGTTTTGCGCGTTTAATGACTATATCGGCTCAATGTTTAGCTCTGCGAAACTCCTCTTCATGAGCTATGCAAACGCAATTACGAAAGGCACGCATAGCCCGGCGTCGCAGGGCTACTGAGCGCTGACACTCTTCGTTCCACCAGGGCGCACGTTTGAGCCCTGGTCGACGATAAGTGTGTGGAACGAACTGGTGCGCTGATGCTAAAATATTGTTTAGAAATGTAGGGCGGTCGGAAGTTGTGCCTGGAGGGTGTGCCTCATCTACATAATTTTGGAGAGATACCCAGTCCGCTCTGCGAACATTCCATGGGGGAAGAAAATTAAAGTCTATTTGCCCTGATGGGACCTCTAAATTTATGTGGATTGGGTACTAAAAAGCGGATCCGGTCGAACATTGTGCGTAAAGAGTGGTGCTATGCATGGTGTTATCAGAGCCAGATCTATAACAGTGTGTCACTGTGTCTCCGTGGTGGTGTGCATGCGTAGGTGTCAGCTCGTTGATACATATGAGGTCGTGAGTGTTCATCAGTGTGTGTAAAACTCTCCCCCTTGCTTGTGTCGTGCTACAGCCCCATGCGCGATGATGGGCGTTCAATCCCCGAGAAGGAGGCAGGGCTGGGGAGCTTGTGCGAGTAAGGCGGAGAGATCAGCAGAGGAGACATTTGGTGGAGCTAAGGTGCACAGAAAGAAGAGTAAAATCTAACTGTGCTAATTTTACGTTTATTGCAACTGGATTGAAACGAGTATTGAACTGAACTTGACGATGCTTAAGGTTATCTGAGACAAACAAAGCCGAACCGCGTCGGCGGGGGGCTTCGTTTACGTCATGTGTGTAGAGGCATTAACCGTTGATCTTAAAGCTAAAATTAAAGGAATCCGAGTCGGTAAATAGGGTCTCTTGAACGGCGGCTATCAATGGTTTGTTTTTGATCATATATATTGAATTCTGCCCAATGGCGCATCAGAGATCTCGTATTCCATTGGAGCAAGAATTCACTGAATTGGGGATTCATTTAGGGCAGGGAGGGAGACCATCCAGAGGAGCGGCAGTGAGAGAGCGATCGAGGGGCGCGACGGCGGGAGCGCGTAACGGGTCGGGCTCGGCGTTCAAGCGAGGGACTGGCCCGGGAGGTTGGCGTCGGGGGCGCGGCGGCTGGGGCATCGGATTCTTGGGACGCTGGTACGGGTGAGGTGGACCAACACCGACGTGTTAGGGTGCGAGAGAGGCTCTCTGAGTTTGGTGGGGCGGGTCCCTGGTCAGGGATGCTCGCAGCCGCTGGATTCGTCGTAACTGGGTCGGCTGGCGCGGGCTCGATCGTACGCCGCACCAGACGCGGCTGACCTGCTGGGGAGGGGCGGCGAGCTGGGGGGGGGGGGGGCGTCGTGCTGAGAGGCAACGCTGGCTCGTTACCTCGGGCTCCTCAACGTGGCGCGGGGGAAGGGGGCGCCGCCTCGGAGTTGGTGTTAGAGGGGGAGGACGAGGGTACGTCTACCGCGGCGTGGGCCACTCATGAGGATGGAGCACCCGGACGGGAGTGTAGGCCGCTGCCGCTGCCACTGCTGGCGCTCGCGCAGCGCCTCGCGCTGCATATGCCAAACGGGACAGGCGCGGCGGTCCCAAGCTGCGTGCGGGTCTTTGCATGTGGCGCAGCGCGGGTTTTCCACGTCACACTCCCGCGTGTGATGGGGATCGACGCGGCGGCCGCAGGTCGGGCGCGCAACCCGGCAGGTCCGGTCAGGTGTGGCCGAACCGTTGGCACGTGCGGCACTGCTGGGGAAGAGGGACCCAGGCCTTTACCGGGACCATGAGGTGTCCGCACTGGATGGCACATGGGAGCTTTAGCCCCCTAAATCGCAGGCGGACGAGTGGGTTGGGGACCCAGGCCGGGACGGCGGGAGAGCAGGCACATAACCACGCACACTCACTGCTCGGTCAACTCCTCCAGTATCTTGTCGTCCGACAGCTCGGTGAGCTCCGGGCTGTAAACGACCGCCTGGGTGGTGTGCAGGCGGTCTGCGATGGTGGCTGTGCCCGCCCGCCCCAGAAAACTGCTCAATTTGAGCAGGGCCTCTGCCTGACGCTTCGAAAAAAAACACTAACTAAGAGGGCTCCCGAGCGGAGCGGTTTGGCTCCATCAGTCTCACCGGCATGGTGCTCAAGTTCTCGACGGATGGGGAAAGGGTTTATCGTGCAGAAACTTTTCCCGTCAACGTTTTTGATGAGCAGGGAGCTCGGCCCCTCCGGAGGGGAGGTGGAGGGGGTACGTGGGTGAAATTATTTTGTCTCTTCCACGCCGTATTTGACACTTAAAAATGAGCCTAGGCCAAGGGCGCGTTCGTTCAAGGAAAAATCATTCAACAAATAATTATCTATCCGATAATCATAGGTGGATATTCTCTATTTACACTCGGCCGGTCCGAAAATTGTCCCCAGGTTAGTCTATCATGCACCATCCACGGCCAACGGTCACAGCCATGCATAGTGAACACAGATTCTCCGTCTTGACCATGCTCTCAAAACTCTCCGGGACCTCTACCTGGCTATGAAAAATTATCTGGGATAATTTTCCGACCCAACAGTGCCGAACGTCATTCCAGAAAATTTATCCAACATTCTGGATAATTTTCCAAGATTTTCTGGCGGCCGAACGCACCCCAAGCAATGCCGAGGCCATCTGACAGGCAGTAGGGCAATATCCCTTGGCCAATATCTAACAGGCAGTACAAAGGATTAGCAGGACGCTGGTAGTGGCACAAGGAGCCCGAAGGCCGCTTGTAACGAAGTGTGCTCAAGTTTCTTTTGTAGCGAAAATGAAGATCTCATTTATTCTCAGTGCCGTTATCGTTTTGGCCGTGCGTTGCACGAGTGGGTACAAAATGGTGTTCATGATTCATGGTGTGATGAGTGACAAAGGAAGTCTTGATTTTCTTTCTGAATACATCAAGCAGGTATGTTGTAATTGGTACTTGCATGCCACTTGACCGGTCTTAAACTTAGTGTGCGTCACAGCATTGCTACACTTGAGAATACTTTGTGTTCTGTTACCAGTTAAGTTCTGCTTCAGGATAGGGCTGATTTGTAGAGATGTAGCATAGTGCTGAGAAGCAAAGCCCTATTCAAAATTGTAGCCTGAAGCATTTCATGTGGTTTGATTCCTCTTTTGACTGCCAGTGTTCAAGATTCCTGGTGTTCTGGTCTACAAATGCTTAATCATGCTGGTTAATCATGGAATGTATATTTTCAGGCTCACCCTGGCACTGAAATCCACAACATGAACCTGTTTGCACATTACTACAGTTTGGAGCCAATTTGGAAGCAGGTGAAGGGTTTCAAAGCAGAAATGGAGAAGCTTTTGAATAACCAAACAGAAGAAGTGCATCTGATTGGTAGGTTTTTTTACAAAAAGCTCAAAAATAAATGATTTGAAGTCAGAAATTGTTCATCAGATTTTAAAACTGATGTGATGCTTCATTATTATAGGTTTGGAATAATTTGGTAAATAAAGCAGCCTACATTACATAAACCTGATGTGTTCTTCTGTCTTGGACCAAGTGATCAGCTATTTTGCAGCATCACTATTGATTTTAGTTTATTTTAGTCAAACTTAAAGGATAAATCTGCAATACATTTGCAAACAAGCATTAGGAAAGCCAGAACAGGGCATGTATTTCCTGCCCATCATTTGGTCAGATTTGTTTTCCAGAAGATTGTGTTCACTCATCATGATGAAAACAACCAAGCCCAGGGTATGACACTTGTATTACCACATGAGAGGGGTAGCTCTGTTTCTACACACAAAATGTGACTTTCATGGATTAAACAGAGGTGGTGTCATAACTGGAATGTGTGCTGATTTGATGCATGCTAAAAAGGGTGATAGTAACCTGAGTGCACATGTATTTACTCTGCAGTACTGAACACCACAGGTCAACTCCAGCCAGGAGGGTCATGAGGGGAAATCCCTCTATCTGTTCTTTTTTGTTGGCTGTCTGGAAGCATGCCATTCTAAAGCAGTTGAGGCTAAAAGTGATGTATTTTGTGGTGGTTGCATGTACAAATATTCCTGTTTTAGAGAAGTTTCAAATTTGTATGGCGCCTTTCACCATCAGTCGTCATTTCATGGATGTCTTGTTGATTGATACCAAGCTCAAGGTGAAGTGACTGCTGCTGTAACATGACTGCTGTAAGGGAAGTGCTGCTTTCAAAGAGCTACCATAGACTACCCACTGAAGTCATTGAGCAAATGTAAACATTTTCCAGTGGTGAATTGTTGGTGCAGTTGTGTCAGCACTTGGCTCATCTGTTTTGTCAACATGCTCTGATAGTGGTGCCTCACACCATATGTTAGCACCGCACCGCACCCGCTGTCAGCATCTACTGACCATTGCGCTGCACCGCCATCAGCACATGTTGATCACTGCACCGCACTGCACCGCACCGCCATCACCATGTGTTGACTACCGCACCGCACCACCGTCGCCACATGTTAGCCATTGCGTCGCACTGCCGTCAGCTTTTGTTGACCACCGCACCGCACCGCCGCGGGCATATGTTGGCCATCGCACCGCACCGCCGTGGGCATATGTTGGCCACCGCACCACATCGCAACGCTGTAAGCATATGTTGGCCACTGCACCACACCGCCGTGGTAGTGACGCTGTAAGAAGCTTGCTCTGTGTGAAACGGCTCATGTGTGAAGCCGTCTTGTGTTGGGCTCTGGGGTTACGCTGGCACTCTTAGCTCAGTGAAGTGTTGGTGCAATAGGTATTTGCTGCACCAGATAGGCTTGTGCCTGAACTAGTGCAGGTGGCTATAACATCGGATCATGCTCCGATACATATTCAAAATTAGGTGTAGTATGGCTCATTGCTAACCCACTTTGACAGCTCACTCTCAAGGAGGCCTGATTGCGAGAGGAATCATAGAAAGCTGGGACAACCACAACATCAGCAGCTTCATCTCGCTCAGCTCTCCTCAGGCGGGACAGTTCGGAGGTATGCGTTTGTTTGCATGACGAGCACTGAGAAACTGTGCCTCGCAAAACTTGTGAAAAGAGGTCGCTCTAATTGAATTTGTGTCCTCGTATTTATGTTCAGCTTTACAACTCTTGTTAACTCATTGTTCTTGATATTTATCGGTCTTTAACTTGCCCTCCGAAGTAGCAAGTCAACCAAGAATTCGTCAATTGACAATAATCTGGTGTGCGTGCTGTGCTCAACACCCGCCGGGCACCTGGAATGCTTCCGTCGCTCCTCGAGCGGCACACCGCCGTGCGTACGCACTGTACGCGGGCGCGCCGGCGCTGTCCGCTCCGTCAGAAGAGCAGTCTCAGTGCCGTGACCGTGGGCCTGGCCTGCCGCTGCCGCAGACGGCTTCCTGCACCTGGTGTTCCCGGGCGTGGTGCGCGACGAGGCCTACCGACTCTTCTACAACCGCATCGGGCAGTACACCTCGGTAGGCAACTACTGGAACGATCCTCACGAGCAGGAGGAGTATCGCCAGTACAGCAAGTTCCTGGCGCCCGTTAACAATGAGGTAAGAGCTTGGGCGCCGGCCGGTAGGTAAGCTATCATTCAGGCCAGGCGATTGTTGTTTATACCGTCAAGTTTTAATTTCTCATTGTGTCGCTAGTCGTTGAAAAGGCCCATATCTATGGAATTAATGGTCTGTGGTCATGGTTTGTTAGTAGCTGCAATGAAAAGCATGGTAGCCATGTCGTGGACCACGAATGTATTGTATTCTTCCAACAGCTGGGTTCATAATCGGCCTATGGTTTGGCATGCTGGATACCTTTCAGTAAACTGGACCGTTCTTATACATTGATCAGCGGTAGTGAGGGGCTGTTAGCTCTCATGGTTGTAATTATCTGAACATTTTTGTTTAGAACAGTGTCGTGAAAGGGCACGGAGTTAACGTAAACTCGCCTCTATTCGTGCTATATCTAAACCATGTGTCAGTGTCTGTATCTCCGTGTTTGTTCCAAGTCTACCATAGCATTACCTGCCCATTTATATTGGCTCAAAGACGAACTTGGCAGCCGTACTCTGCTAGCCACGTGGGCGGATGTTTCTTCATAGGAGCCAGATGCTAAATATTGTTGGAACCCCTGCACATTTGAACCATATTTTTGTGAAATCGACCAGCATCAGATCAATATCAGATCAGTATCAGATCATCACAGCCTGTGGCAGTGTGGCTGACGGAGCCCGCTGCCGAGCGCTGACGATGTCCGTCCGTCAGGCGTTCACCGACGACTCGAAGCGGTTCAGACGGAACCTGTGCCGCCTGAAGCGTCTGGTGCTTATCGGTGGGCCCGACGACGGTGTCATCACTCCCTGGCAGAGCAGGTGAGGAATGGTGTCATCACTCCCTGGCAGAGCAGGTGAGGAACGGTGCCGTTACTCCCTGGCAGAGCAGGTGAGGAATGGTGTCATCACTCCCTGGTAGAGCAGGTGAGGAACGGTGTCATCACTCCCTGGCAGAGCAGGTGAGGAATGGTGTCATCACTCCCTGGCAGAGCAGGTGAGGAATGGTGTCATCATTCCCTGATGGAACAGGTGAGAAAGGGTGTCATCACTCCCTGACAGCATGTGAGGAACAATGGCATCACTCCTTGACAGAACAGGTGAGGAACAGTGTCATTGCTCTCTGACAGCATATGAGGAACAGTGTCATCACTCCCTGGTAGAGCAGGCGAGGAATGGCGTCATCATCCCCTGACAGCAGGTGAGGAGTGGTGACTTCTTGCCCTGGATGTAAGCCAAGGTAATATCAGGAGATGAGCCTGCAGTGCATCACAGGAAACCTTTTGCTTTGCTTTGGGTTTTTGTCCCCAAGTTTATGCATCCTTTGTAAAATGCACTGCTGTTAATCAAACACTTAATTGAATCTCGTTGTGCAAACATGTACTTAACTTCTGGTGAGATGGTATATGTGCTATTAGACCATTGGTGTCCCATTATATCGCATACATGTGTTGATCAATTTCCCAAACCCCCATATATGTTTGAACGTGTTGGGCCTCGACTCATAGTGCGCGCCAACTTTACAACAAATTTCCGCGCCCTGTGATGTCCAGGCACATGCTATCTGGTAGCCAAGCGTGCATATCCGGTAGTCAAGCGTGTGCTGCTGGTCGTCGACTACTGTGTCTGTATATCTGGTAGCCAAGCGTATGCCGCTCGTCGTCGGCTACTGTGTCTGTATATATTGTGGCCAAGCGTGTGCTGCTCGCCGTCAGCTACTGTGTCTGCATATCTTGTGGCCAAGTGTGCGGCGCTCGCCGTCAGCTACTGTGTCTGTATATCTGGTAGCCAAGCGTATGCCGCTCGTCGTCGGCTACTGTGTCTGTATATATTGTGGCCAAGCGTGTGCTGCTCGCCGTCAGCTACTGTGTCTGTATATCTTGTGGCCAAGTGTGCGGCGCTCGCCGTCAGCTACTGTGTCTGTATATCTGGTAGCCAAGCGTATGCCGCTCGTCGTCGGCTACTGTGTCTGTATATCTTGTGGCCAAGTGTGTGCTGCTCGCCGTCAGCTACCTTGTCTGTATATCTTGTGGCCAAGTGTGTGGTGCTCGCTGTCGGCTGCTGTGTGGTACTGATCGGCGACGGTCCACCCCCAGCCAGTTCGGCTTCTACACGGCCAACATGACGGTGCTGAACGTGCGCCAGCGCGAGGGGTACCGGAAGGACCGGAACGGCCTCCGTACGCTGGACAAGCGGGACGCGCTGATCCTGCACACCTTCGACGGCGTCCAGCACCTCACCTGGCACCATAACATCACCGTCATCCGCCAGGCCGTGCTGCCGTACCTGGACTGAGGCGCTGATAGCGCTCCTCCAACCGCAGAGGCCGACGGGCCAGAGTTTGCAAGCCCGGCGGGCCGTGCTCACGCTGTGGAGCGGGCCGACGAACGATCTGTCTACCTGTGGGGATATTGGGGAGTCCATAAGCCTGAAAGGGATTCATGGCTAGAACGCCTTATTGATGGTGCAGAAACCATATCTTAGTCGTGGACACGGGTCAGACATTAAAAGGGTGTTCTTAAAAAAGCGTGTGCAAGATTTTGACGCGGTATGGTTACAATGTTACCTAGTCTAGGTGCGTATCTAGTCATGTTAGAGGCATTTTGTGGTGCAACTTATAATGGGCATCAATAGCATCATAAGTTTTACATACAGGAAGGTGGCCCAGAACTGTTCTGGAGGACTACACTGCATTAGGTTGGTTGCGCGCAATAGTCCAGTGCCCACACCAAGCCGCGTACAGCCCGACACTCCCTGCGAGAGACGTGCCGCCCGCAGGACGTGTTACGGCCTCGGTGATGACCTCTCCGTATGTGTGTAAGCTCCATTTCCGTCTTTCACCGGCAGATGTCACCATGCTCGAGGACAAGGCGTCAGGTGTGGTTTGCGTCGTTTCCGGCCGAACACTGGCAGCGCGCGCGAGCATTATCTGGTGTTAGCCAGTGTGATAGTGTGTGTGCCCGTCGTGCTCAGATATTCGTGAGCTGAAAATACTCAGCGGGTTGATACCGGATATATAGTGTATGGTTTAAGCATAGCCGGACATGTAGTGTATGGTATAAGTATGAAGGTCGCATTGTTCATGCTAGTATGTGCAATCTTGAGAATGTTATCTGATCTGAAATGCACGGTGTGAACCAGTTACCTCAAATATAGACGAAAACACTCAGGAAGGCCCCTGAAAAATGTTTGGTTTTGAATCGCCAGAGACAAACAGCCCTATCTAAAAGCAGGTTTGAGATCTTAACATGCTGGCTAACAACTGGTTTGGACATGGCACCGGTGTGCGATGTGCAACGTTGGCATCCGCTCCATCGAACTAGCTATTTCCTACAGCCTCGGCTGAAGTGGTTTCGCGCTGCGTGCATAACCACGTAAAGGGGGAGGGGTGCTCGAAGTTTATACGGGGTCATGCGGACTGCCGCAGGTTCTGCGCCTGCCAATATTGGACATCGTGAAATACGTGTTATTTTTGCTACGAAAAGATGCCTTTCAGGTAGTAAACCACCTCGGCCAAGATAGCATTATTTCTTTTCACCTGTCGCTTCACCATGGGCTATGGGCGTGCCACATGGGACCAGCGGTTCTCGGCCCGTGCTAGTGGTACGGCGATAATCCAGCTCTAACCTTCTATACCGGCTGGCCGGACCAACCAGCACAGGCCTCTGCCGAGCATCGACCGGCGAGTATCGAGTCTTCTCGGCCGTGACTTTGTAGTGGCGTGGAGGATTCTGTCAGAAATACTGGGAACCGAGGAACCTCCGCGTCGGGAAACACAGAAACCAACACCTTGCCAACTGCGGAGCCATCTGCACGCCAGCGCCGACACCAGTCAACAGATCGGCCGCTGCCGGCAGCACGATCTTCAGGAGGAGTACTGGGCATACCAACGAGCTGGAAGATGAGTGCTGGGCCCTGGAAGCGCTTGTGGAACAGATCATGCTTAGTGATGCAGATGCGGTCCAGGGGCCGCATGAGCTCCGCGTTGGAGACCTATTTCCAACGATCTTCCTCGTAGACTTGGGCACGAAGAGATTCATGTGTTTCACCTGGTTGCTGTCTTGAACATGACTACACGTCTGAAGCGCTGAGCGGCGGACTGCCGACAGTTCAACGAAGACCACCGGACCAAAGTTACGTTAAGCAAGTGCGCATCATCGAACTACGAGCATACACGGCATGAGTCTATGGATTGCGGTTGCTGGTCCCGGCGAGATTGCCTGGAAGACAACCGATGGTGTAGTCCCCCACCCCGATGGTCTCCCCCAGCGGTCAGCGGCCAGCGACCTGTGGCGGTGGAAGTGACGACCAGTTTCTTGACAACCGGGCAGCGCCTGGAGGATGACACTAGTCTTAGTGGACCAGCATTATAGGACCTCCAGATTCCGGTGAGGGGTTTAAATGCCACTGAGTAAACTAGGTAGCACAGTATCAGCAGCTAATGGAGGGCTAAAAAGTAACTTTGCATCCCGGTCTGTAATGTTCATGGTGTGGCTCTTGGCGTGTGGCCACAACCTGTAGTGCTGTCAAGGCTATCAAGATGAAAAGGTTTCAATGAAAAAGCAGCTGTGGTGTGGCGCATGCATCAAATTGTCATGTTGGTAGCACTCGCTTTTAAAGGCCTCTTATCGTTAAAAACTCCTTGTTTTTACCGGTCTATTGATGTCAAATGAAGTTCACTGAGTTTTGTATTCGTCACAAGATCTTGCTGCTTCGGCCCTGAAGGACGCCGGCGCGCTTCTCAGGGCATTGGATGATGCCCTCGACGCCGGCGCTCCTCAGGACCCTCCTTGCGACGAACTTGGCGTGCAACAGGAGGCACTAATCTTCGTCGCCGGCTATGTCGCTGCCAAATGTCGCCACCTGGACCCATCGCTCGGCCGACTAACGGGCCAGCAGCCGGCGCATTGGGAGGGACCACTAGACATTGCGGACTCTGTGTGGCTTCGTGCCCTGAACCGCGACGGCCTCACCGCACCCTCCAGTGCATGGTCAGATGTGGTGAAGGCCTTTGAAGTGATTTTCTCCATTCAGCTGGGTCGTGATGGTGTTGAGGACCGTGATCCAGGCGTACTGCGCCGACTGACGGACGTGGCGGCGGTGAAGGCGCCGCACGTCGACAGGCGCATCCTTCGGAAGTTGGCCAGCACGCGGCTGCACATCCGGCTGCGCTGGCTTAGCCGCCAGGACAGGGACGCGGCGCAGAGACATCGTGACGAGCAGCTGCGCCAGCATGCTGCGAGTCGCTAATAATGTTAAGAAGTGTTCGCGCTGCTGCTTCGAATAGGAGCACCGATTAGGCTTTTTGGTTAGTGCCTATGTTTGTGGCGTTTAGAGTAAGAACACCGCCCCAAGAGCTGATGCCTGCTAGCGTGTACTTGTATACTGGTATATACTATGGTACTGTGATACTTGTGCGCGAGTGTTTGTTTAATGCGAGTGTTTGAGTGTATGGTAGCCCTTGGTTCTTGTTTAGAATGAGGTTGCTGAAAACTGTCTTCCAGTTGGTGGTCTAGTCTTTCATTGCGTGTTGCTGAGAAGGGCTCTGGGTCCTCGCAACAAATTGTTATGATTACTCTTGAATGCCCTTGCCATAGTTAAGATATGAAATGTGTGGCCGAGTGCTCTGTATGCCACTTTGTGTACGGTGTACGGCCTCTTGTTTGTCACCACAATAATACACTTTTGCATTGCACTCAGTGTGTTGCAAATTACAATTTTTCATTTTAAAAATGTTCGAAAATCTTCATTTCAAACTGGAAATAACCGGAAAAGTAGCTATTTATGACGCAAGTTAAGGGTTTATATCATAATTCTGTCCTGTGAACTGCAGGATTTCTGAGGTGAAAATTTTGGATTGACTGGCAATTTTTTTCTTATTCAGCATTAGAATGATCCGATATGAGGTTTAAGGCGATTTCATGAAAAGCGTAGGTGTTGCTTATTTTAGGCTATGTGTTGACCATGTGTGTTTTCACATTGACCTTGCACCCACATCTTGGCTGTACTTACCCAAAAAGTTGTAAGTTTTAATAGATATTTCTTATGCGTTTTAGGCAAAATGGACGTAAATAGCGACATCCTAAAGCGACATCCGTGAACTCTTGGCTCCTGTATGTTGTATACAAATCATACAATTACTTCCGAGAAAACTTGGTGGTTCGAATTTCGCCTCCTGGCGTTACAGGGAAAAGGCGCTCGGTTTCGACGCCAATCGATCGTGGAAAAATACGCTTTTGGGCCAATATTATGACTTGGTGCAAGAACAAGAACAGATATATATATATATATATATATATATATATATATATATATATATATATCCAGGCTTACGGTCTTACACTAGCTCATCAAACTTTTTAAACTACATTTTGCGTGTATCGCCTATGCATCGCAATGGTTCGATTCCACTTGTGACGTCATCAGTCGAAACAGCGGAATTTGGCCGGACGGTTATAACTTCTGTTCAACGGCCTTGGCCTCCCCTGGTCTCACACCCACCCAGATGGTGTTGTCTCCGACCCAGATGGCGTGGTCTCCGACCCGGTGGTCTCTACCCCAGCCTCCCATCCACCTAGATGGTGCGATCTCTCACCCAGATGGTCTCTCCCCTAGTTTCCCATCCTCGCAGATGGTGCGGTCTCTCACCCAGATGGTCTCTTAGATGGTGCGGTCTCTCTCAGCGCAGCGTCAGCGGCAGGGAGATTCAACGCGGTATGTCACCGATGTCACTGGAAATTGTCAACCCCGAATTAACTGAGGCGTGGTAATGCACTTAGCACATGATCAACTCCCTCTAACTTTTGAGTCACCATCCATTTTCAGAGGCGTTTTCAAAGCGGTTGACATTGATATACAGGCGCTGTAGCTCCAATAAAAGTACAGGAAGTATTACCAAAGCTTGCATTTTCGAGACCGCGGGTTCGTTCAAAGGAACTGTAACTATAGAATATACCCAAGTCAGTTTGCAAAAAAGTGGCCTAGTGAGTTGGGTCAAAAATCATCGCCTCATTTTCGCATCGCATCCGTTCGTAACTGTTTGTTGTGGGAACAACGCCTTCCGTATGTTGTTTTTCCAAAAAAGATGCCTGTGTGGCCTTCACGTAGCATAAGACATAGCCCTTTTCATCGTTTTTTGGGGGGATTCGTACGTTACCAAAGTGGGACACTTTTGCACCAACTAGCATGCGAATCTAATAACGTAATAAAACGTTACATCCCAGCGCCATGTGAAAAGTATGCAGGTAAATTAAAGGGTCTGTTGCACATTCATTTGGGAGCTTTGAACTGATATAGCCACTTGAAGACCATTCCCTGCATGTCGATAATTACTAAGAATCAAAATAACATGGCCAGTGAAATATTCGTGTCTGGGACGTCAGCATGAATAGTTACATCGGCGGACAGCAGCTGGTGAACAACCAGTCAGCCAACTGCTGTCCGCTGGCTTCACGCCTCGATCACGATTTGGCTATTTGTTTCTCGGTTGTCTTTTGGATAAGAGCCCATTCGGCCAGTCATGGTCATTTCAGGGCTATGGGATGTAAAAGAATGTATGGCGGTGGGGCAGGGCTTCATGCACCTGGAGACCTGTTGTGTTCGGCTTCTAACTGCTGCCGTTTTCCCGGCACATACCAGACAGTTTGATGAATCGCGCCTCTGTGGCCCGGTCCGACGAGCCAGGCCAGGTGGAAACTTGGCAGAATAGGCACCGAAGCAGCCATGGTCCGACCCGCAAGGGCCGCGGGCAATTTTGCTTCCACGTGCGGCTAGCCAGTGCGGCGGGGGGCAGTTCTCACTAGATCAGGGTGTGAAACAGGTCGTGATAGGAGTGGGATAAGGTGGGGCCTGCGTGGATGATGGCTCAGACATAACAGGACCCATCCGCCGGGGCTTTGACCACATATGACCTCTCTGTGAGGCGTGCACCCGGCGTTCGGACGGGCCTCCAGCAGAGTACGGTTCGCTCCAGTCGTATCTGACACCTGCAGCCCGCCCCTGACAAGCAAGGCGTTGCGATTATGCAGGATAAAATGAGAAGGAGGATGAAAGGGTGGATGCACGATCACATCTCATCTAATTTGCTTAAGGCGTATCATCACGTTAGGACCATTCCACACGCGGAAAAGGTTATTCCAAAAACACTGCAGTTGCGTAAGTGCTTAAAATTGCAAGAATGAGACGTTCGTTACGGATCTTTACAT